GGTTTTGCAATTTCGTTCCAAAAAATTTACCCGCTGGAATTCTAAAGGTAGTGTAATTCATCGAAGGGAAGGAACAACCTTGCAAGCTTCCCGCTCTAGCAGCAGTCAAAGGCAAACAACATTAGCTCTGAATGCTAGTTTCAAAGGACAGTTAACCTCTGAAAACAGCGATCAGAGCTCTTTATTTCCCAATTCCGTGTAGGCATTGCAGTTACAATGAGTGTTTGCAGTAATCCCAGATGAGGTCGGTCATGTTAAGAAGCAATTTATTCTGGGGTTTGTAAGAATAGTCCGCGAGTACACAGTTGTGCCGTTGTTGCGGCTCGACAATGGCGCTAGTGGCCTTACAAAGTGAGCTAATGGCGGCTAATGTGAGCTAATGGACGAGATACCTCGCGCACTCCCATGGCACGCAACGTGGATTACGGCGTAGCGGCTAATTCAAATACGCACGGGTTAGTGGAGCCATGGAGCGAGCAAAATCAGAAAACTCACCCAACGCATTCCCCTCGCTTTCGATCCAGGGAGGGAGAGACGGAGTCTTCGTTCAGGGCTCTGTCAGTGGTATGCTTTGATTTTTCTTTATTTGCGGTCAAGTTCGCATCCACAATTTCGTTATAGGCCACTGTTACCCCAAAGCTTGAATTAGGGTTGCTGTTTCGATCCAGAGGTAGGTAGCTGATATTGAAGTCGTCGGTTTAGCCTCCTCGATTTGCATTGAGTACCAGCTAATCTGCTGCGGAGGAAAGCTGACTCAACCTCTCAGGAGGGTCGAGGGAGACGTTCAGTTTTTTTTCCCAAAGTAGGGTGTTGATTGAAGCCCAAGATTAGCTTGAGCTTGGACTTATAACTACGTAACGTTTTATGTTTGGGCCTAGAGTTAGGCCTAGGGCTTAGGCTTCTGCTTGTTACGGCAAATAGAGGTGTTCTAGTCTGAGGTGACCTGATCTGAGTAGGAGCAGTGATTTGCACCCTAGCTGAAGACACTTTTTACATCACCGTTGGCTAAATGCCTGTAATCACAAACTGATCTCCCCTATTAGTGAAGGTTTTCTTTAAACTTGTTTGTGACTTTTCCAGTTTAGCCCTTTCCCACATGTTTTGGGGATCAAGCATGAGTCATCAGTCGCCAATTATAAACGCTCGATTTCGTCCGGCGCTGTTGAGCCCGTGATCCTGCATGTCTAAAGAACCTATGGAACCGGATCGTTGAACGAGACGGAATTCCATCCATCAGAAGATGTGCCAAACTATTACTTTCCCGCATGTTTTGGGGATCAAGCATGAATCATCAGACGCCAAAGATGTGCCAAACTATTACGTTTTTGCTAGACAATCTCTGAAGGGGTCCTGTTGCAGCCGACGTCTGCACGAATATGGACTGCGCTGCGGAAGCGGAGTGCCGGGAAACGCCGATGGGACCGATGTGTCAGTGTATGAGCGGTTTCGTCGACGTCTCCAGACAGCACGGACGACCTCCCGGGCAGAATTTGCCGTGCTGTCGTCAATGAATGCGCAGAAGGCAAACACGACTGCTCACGCCATGCCGCTTGCATCGACACACAGCTGATGGCTTCACCTGCAGATGCCACGACAACTATCGCGACGAGAAGTCCCATTGCGCTCTGTGCCAGCCCCGGCAGGGTCTGTGTATCAGAGTAAAGTGTTGACTGCAACTTTCCTTAGAGAATCTTGGCGGTCTTTCCATAACTTTTGTTGGCAGCCTTCCGTTCCCGATCCAAACCAGAATGTGAGTGAGCGAATCCTATAGCTCGCGATCAGCAACAACATCCGAGTCCTAGACAATTTGTGCGTCTTAATGAAAAAACCAGGGCGAAACGACCAATGTTACATCGCCGTGACATACACTACTCCGGAATTTTGTTGCAGGCGACTGCGTAATTTGGTATTTATTAGGATAGGATATTAGTGCACACTACAGGCGTTTTCTTACTGTGCATATTGTGTATTATCTTGTTCTTATTGAAATCAGTGCTTATCAACCTCAATATTACTGTAATCGGTGGAAACGGAAATGGCTGTGGCATCCAGCTGATGGACGTTTACGTGCCGCGCATATATGAATTCCGCTCGAATTGTGGTATTTGAATGCTAACAGGTCTAAACATGGGTTGCAAAGGGTCATGTTCTCGTTCAATACTTCTTTATTAAGGTTTGTGTGTTCGTGCTATGTACCTCAAGATCCGCGTTGTGTCTGGCTTTCTCGCCTTGCTGACGTGTGAGATGTCTGGCCCATCACTGAATGCCGAGGCATTCAAAATCGCCTGAAGTGACCTTGTGGTCAAAGACGCCGAATGCATCGATTTTGGTTAGGGTGCTCAGGTCTCTTGTGCTGTTCCCCCAACCATACGCGATCCTTTTCTATCATGTATTATGGCTACACCTGTCACGTGTTCGGTCAGGATTGCCGACGTTTCTCTCATGCAGTGAACCTGGTCGTCTTCTGCAAAGCGCGCAATCTAACTGATGCTCCATAACATAGTAGCGTGAGGCTCCTTATATGTAAAACTTACCCGATCATGGATCCATCACTTTTTCAGGGAAAAATATCTGCGATTGACTGCGATCGAGACGCGATTTGTGTCGATCACTGCGTGACGATTCGTTCACCGCTGCGCAGTGCTGCGTCCAGGATTGTCGCTGTACACACTCTTCGGCTCTTTTCAATGCGACTGTCCTTGGTGAGTCTTCTGAGAAGCCAAAACATACCTACAGTAGCACATTAAGAATTTCAGGTCGACGATGTGTCGAAGCGATAAATGAGCGCTCCATCAAGGGTCTTAACGACTGCTCCGAATTCGCGCTTTGCGAAGACGCCCCAGCGTTCGTAGATCGCACTGCCAAGGTCAGTGGTGGTATAGTAAAGGTCAATCAACTAGCAGGTGACATTTTTGACTTTCCAGGAAGGGTACGTGTGCTCATGTCGTAACGGCTACGTTGATGCATCACCAAACGCAACCCATTACCCAGGGCGGGTTTGTCGCAAACCCATTGAGAGATTGACGGTGACCGAGTTCACAAGTTCTTTCTCACATGATTCCTGTGATCCAAAAGTACGTTTTTTGCATAACTATGGTCATGGCTCCATCATGATGTGTTCTTGCAGAAACCACGCTGCGGTACGAATGAGATCTGCACCGATCGAGGTCAACGAGGGCATCACTCCTGCCAATGCGCGGACAATGCGTTCCGATACGAAGACGGCACTTGTCGAGGTGGGCCGCTTTTCTAAAAACGCTCCGTGAGGTTCATGATCTTTGCAGGGTGAAGGTATAGGTAAGGGATCAGAATTGAATTCAGTGGGTCCGAGATGCGCCACACAGGGTCTGGGTTTCGGTTCCATTGAGAATTAAGGAAATCTCTTGATGCGTAAAGAATTATGATGAAGTTTATTTCAAAATTCTGAGGTCGTCGTCAAAACTTTTATCCCCTTTATCAATCTGCCACCGACCAGCCTTGACTAGTGTCTCCTCAAATTCAGATATTTTGCGCGAGGCTTCCACCCCCCCCCCCCTCCGGAGTTTCGCGAGCTATCTATGATCCTGCACCAAGGTTGATATAGTTTCCATAGATGTATTTAACCTTTTGGAGGCAATATCCTCGCCACTTGCTGCATACCAAGTTAATTGCTTATTGAGGTTTTCTCTTCAAGAGCTATCGACAAATTATTATAGTTCTTTTAGAGTGTAGAGCGCTTTTTGAAAGCAGTTTTCTGCACGCTATAGGGGCCCTCACATCGGCTGAGGTCCACTTTCGCTCAGCAGGCCGTGACGGCTAAAAAAGGATCGAAAATTTTGCTTGTAGTGAATGGTTGTATGACTCCCACTGTAGGCCTGGCGCTATTTGAAGCCAATCTGGAAGTGTAAAATCCAAAAATCTTGTCATCGCTGGGCATTGAACCTTGGACCATTTCTTCACCACTTCTTGGCCTTTCCAGGACCGCTCAGCAAAAACGGGATTCGGTTTCGTTGGTCCACTCATGAGTTCCTCTAACATGAAGAAAACCGTTTTGAAAAAATGCTTCACATTCTGAAATACCTTCCTTGTAAGTATTGTTGTCCAGTACGCTGACCAAATTCTACAAAAGCACTGTTCCAACATTCCAATTATACTCAAAGCAATATAAAGTAGTACACTACTATAAAAGCGAGGAAATATCCATAAAATGGACTCCGTCGACGATATGGGCCTTCTCGAATCTTTTTCTGACTGATTATGAGACAAACCTGGGACGCAACAAGTCGCTGTTGAATTCCTTTCGTATCTATTCCAGGGTCTTCGATCTAGTCAGGAAAACCTTGAAAGAACTCAATTTGCTGTACCAATATTCAGCAGATCCTTGGCTTAGATATCTCCTCATTATGAACAATGACATGGGCCTCGAATTCCAACTGATTTAGTCAGGTTAAACTTTTGACCGCTGGTCCCAGGGAGAGGCGCGATCCAGAACTGGTTAAACTGCTTTCTCTTATAATGCGCGCCTTACTCGGATCAAAATCCTAAAATATGTCACAGCGGTTACCTTATCTTAAGCCCATAAGCGGCAGGAATCCTGAAATAATTGTCAACCGCTAAGTGAATTCCGCCCAAGCTGTGCGCCTTTTGCTGCTCGAAAACTCTCACTTCTTTTTCGTGGAGATTTTCCCGTTAGCAAACTTTCCTTTTGTCATCATTTAGAAGGAAAATTGACGACAACTATACAGCTTTCTCAAACAATAATAGATTTCAACCAACAAACTTTAGATGGAGGATTTTGCTGAATCGGCACAGTACACTTTTTACCAAAAGCAGCGAGGAAACATTTCCGTACTTTGAAAATGGGATTGGATGTTTGATTGCAATTCGCATTAAGTATTTTACACTACATTTTCTTTTTGGAGACTCTTTTCAGAGAATTCCTATTATGGAGTTTCAAAAATATGCGAAGTGGGCATATCGGACCTCTGTTTCAGAAGGCCTCATATTTTACGCATGACATCTATGGCTGTATAAGAGGACTGATGAAGTCGTTACGCCAGGATTGATACTCTGTAGCATGTACAGTACTTTAGAATTCGAAGAGTGGAAATCAGTGAGTTTCAGGCGAATCTTACCAGAGGCTTGTTCTTATTTTACGGCTTTTCACTGCGTAAGCATTAAAGAGACTAAATGTGTATGAGGCCTAGGTGACGACTATTCAACAGCTTTCTGCCCCCTTTTCGTTCTCTAAATGCTGAATGAATTTTTGCCAATTTTTGCTAGTTGACCACGGAAGCGATTGAGCTAGAGTTTGGAGGGATTGAACCCGGGAAGGGATTGTTTGACATGGAACGGGATCAAATCATGAAGGTATGCGGTCACGATTCGTCTGCTTTGGTTGATTGGAGTCACAAAGTTCAAGGATTTCTTATGAAAATTGTATGAGTGTCTATCCAATCTTTAATCAATTCGCGTGATTTCTCATGGAGAAAAGTACGTGGCACATTATAATTGCTCATTGCTGCAAACGCAACTATAGTCGTTGGCCAAAAGAGAAAAGTGTTGATTTTATCACTATGGCGATGGTTTGAAGGAAAAATCACATGTAGTCGAATAGTCAGGAGAAATTCGATACTTTCGGAAACGCGCCACACACCCGCTTTCTTCTAACATCGCAAAGATCACTTGATGTCTCCTAAAGCTTGTGCAAGGACCTGCTAGGCCAGTTGTTGCTCAATCAAAAGGAAACCTTCATATAGACAAAATCGCTAGCTGAAGTCAGAGCTCAGCGGGTTTGATTTCTGCCTGGAACAAAGTTTTTTGTCTGAAAGTCTAAATTCTTGTAAAACTAGTAAAAAGTTTTCATAAAGGATCCCAGCGGGTGGATGACTCAAATAGGCTGATAGCCCCACTGACTGGGAGCGCCCAGTTCGCAGCGGAGTGCGTATCTGATTGATTAGCGCAGCCAAGTACTCAATCAGCGATGGGTGGGGAAGTGACCACAACGGCCAACTACGCGGCGGTGGTGATTCAGACAAGTAATCGCTGTCAGTGGGTGAAGGGCGATGTCTGTCTGACCTGTTTTGGTGATTGTTCGAGACCGCGAACGGGACGGAACTTTGGGCGTCTTCTTTATCGATAAGCCCTCATGGTCAAACAAAAACCGTCTCGAGAGGGATTCTTCATAAGCGCGCTAGTGGTTTAGCTTTGATTATTCGCGCTAGAAATACTTATTACTAAATAGCTAGCAGGTCCTCAGAACCTGTCATTATATCCTCAACTTGAATTGGGCGTACTAATACGTGAACTGGTAGTCCCAGCAGGAAAGAGGCGCTGCTACGTCTACCGAAAGCCGTGGATCCAACACAGCCCAGATCGGCTAACTATACAACTACGGATAAGGATAAAAGTACTGACTCCAATTGCGCCCTCCCTTGCGTGCCATTTCAAAGGTCTGCATGCGTAATAGCCCTACAACTTTGCACGGAACTGAAATGCATGGCGCATTCAAAATGTGTTGTCCTACATTTCTTAGTACATTGACTCTTCTTTCGCTTCACTCCTGAAAACACCCTTGCAACTCCATGTCAAATGCATTCCGGGCTTCCAGTAGGTTCAGCGCTTTTCATGGCCCTCGAACTGGGTTGGGCAAAGGCGTGAGGCCAGTAACTTTGCATATCGTCTTTACCTTTCTATCCATTGTTCTTTCGCCGTTTTGAAGGCTACCCGCTAATGCTTGAGTCGAACCAAGCTTGTCTTTCTGTGAGACGATCGCGCGACTCAATACCTAGAACAAAAAGCTATAGTTTGTAACTTCACTAGTATGAGAAAATATTACTTCAGCGCTTAGCGCTAAGAATAGCACGAACCTTGAACGCCACAAAAAATTAGGTCAACAACGCGCTCTCGTTTGATTCGGGTGGCTGATGACGAAATTCTTTATTTGGTCATAAAAGTTTGATCCAATGATAAAAAATACATTGAAAAAGGCTAGGTCGCAAGTATAGTCAGGGGAGGAGGCATTACGCGCAATAGTTCATCCGGCCACAGTAATCGCAGTTTTTGCGCAGACGAGGAAGCCCCAGTGTCGAAGTGTGCTTCTTCGCCACCTCCCCCTTCTTACCCTTAAATGTACTTCAGTCTCACTACACATTAATTCCACAGAAACGTGGACGATTTTGAATGTTTTTTCTCACCAATGCAATCCATATAGAACCAATTGAATTTCGGGCGATGTCTACCTCCCGGCACTCGCACTTGGGCGAGCCGAGGCCGTGAAGGTTGTTGCATGCACAAGGGAATGACCGCAAAAAGGAGGCGCACTTCGCATGGGACTTTGATCCTGTGGTTACCACGGTGCCGCAAGAAAGCGAAGATCATACACTCTGTTTCTCAGAGAAAATAATAATAAGATGTTTCTTGATAAAGAGAAGTAAGCGCTTGTCTCGTTCTTTCGCAATCAGCGGTGTATGAAGGTGTCCGCTATCGCAAATGCGCTCAAAGGCGGTGTACTCGATTGGAAAGCGGTTAGGATCAAGGTGGATGTGGTCATTTGGTGGTGGAATAAAGAAAAACTATGGAAGACAGACTTAAACCCGAAAAGAAGGACCCCTTTTTGCCCCTCGCGACTCTCATCGGTGGTACCCATTCAAAGCTAACGCTCTCTCTCTCTAGACCGTAAACGGCCGGAAAAGAACCTGCGGCGAAGTGGTAGCCACGGTCGTTTGGGCCGTGCCTCGGTCGGATGCGTCGCGCGAGAGAGGCCATGCCAAGCGCACCAGCGGACATATCCTTCGATGCGGAACGCGTCCGCACTTCAGAGGTCCGCCTGTTCTTTCAGATAGTTTTTTTTCCCTCTTCGACCTCCAACATTATGTGGAATCCTTTAATCCCTAAGGAGGCCTACAACGTATCGCTTTTACGTTGCAGATTTTTCCGATCCCGTTCGTGCAGAAGGCTCGTGTCTAGTTGATTTTGCAAGTGGAAATATAAAAAAATTTTATGAAGTGTGACAAATTTAACATTGAAAACGAGGGTGTCCCTTTTTTCGGCCATCCCTCTATTTCGTGGGACCCGATCCGGGAGTCGTGCATTCCGCTAGGCAACGAACTGTGATGCTTCGTTTTTGTTCACCTAAAGCTGCTGATCAGACATTAAATTTCAGTGTACTCGGCTTGCTCACGGATCGGCTTGGTTTAACGCACGAAAATCAATCCAGCGCTCCACGCCCACGCCAGCCCTCCGCAGTCTAGCCCCGGACACGGATTGCGACCGAAACGCCGGTCTGACCTAAACGTCTTGCCGACTCGTACAGTCCTGTCAATGTCGCACCCTGGCTACATCGATATGGTTCCCGGATCCGGAGCGACGACCGGGAAGACGTTGCAAAGAACGTAGGTGGCCGAGCTACTGATTCACGACTATCCTTGGGCAATGTTTGTGTTGCAGTGGTGAACGAATGTGCCACGACGAACAATGAGTGCTCACCTATACGCCAAGTGTACGAGCATCGACCTCACCGAGGGCTACGCGTGCCAGTGTCTCGAGGGCTATGTGGACATCTCCTCAAAGCACAAGCTTCCTCCTGGTCGAAGATGCTCACAGTGTAAAGTATTGAAAAGACACCCTATGTGTTAGACGCTTGATGTTTATGCCGAGGTATATGTCCGGGAAATATTCACAAAGTTCGATGAAAGTCCAAAAGATCTTACTATATAGTTCAAAATGTGAGAGGAGAATTTATACAAAAAAATTGCAGTCACCTGAGTACTTCCTACCGGTTCTTATTCCGAAAGTTTTTCTCCATTTCAGCGAATAACGAGTGTGCCTTCAAGCATCTGAACACTTGTGACGACAACGCGGACTGTGTTGATACTCAGGATGGCTACACCTGCCAGGTAAGGCTTTTATACGATTTGAATTAATACTTCGAACTGTTTGGTTCATTTTCCAAGGATCGGTTAGTACCCAAATTGAACTCGGCAGCTATTATTTGTAGGCATGGCTATTCGAAACCCTCCTATTCGAATCAAAACCTTGACATCATCAAAAAATTTCTCGCCTTGGTGGATTGAAAATAGGTAGAATTAAAGTCCAGTTGTGCCGGAGGTAGTTCTTCACCTCTCTGGATCTCTCTACTGGTGTAGGGCTTGTGTGAAGAAATGAGAATGTGTGGAGAAAAGTGAATGTGAATCTTTGCAAGATCAGCCGGCTCCCACAAGTCTATAGGAAGCCAGAGACGCATTCACATGCATCCGTCTCAGAACTGCAGTCTAATGTGTGGCGCATACTGGAGGGGTCGATTCATAGCGATTTCTGACCAAGTGTTTTTCACTGTTTTGTCGTGTAAAACAGCGAGATGTTTCAGCAAACCTACCCGTAGGGTTTCATTCACGCGAGGTACCTTCATGCTCGATCGCACCTTTTGGCGCTTTCGAATGAATTTTGAGGCGGAGTCTGTGTCAAGTGAGGCAGGTCCAGGGACACTAACGCACAATCGATCGTCAGAGTGAGGAGAAGAGGGGTCTTTGAGAGAGGAGAGCAGGGTCAAGCGTGCGTTGAGGAATCCTCGACAGGTCACAGGGGGGGGGTCGTATTGGCCCGCTGGGAGGAAGAGATCGGGCCAGATTGATGCAGTAGGATTTGTACTCATTCTATAGGCCATACATTAGCATACTTAAAAACCACATGGCTCACAGAAAGGCCAAATATTCTTTAGTTTGGCAGAGGTTTTCCAGACCTTACGGATATGTCTGTTCAGTTCATTCCTCGTTTTCTTTTCAATAACGTAACATGTTGATAAAAAGGAATAATAGAAGTGAATACAAACCTATTCGTATGGGAAGATATGTGTTTTTACTGAAACAACCACGTCCAAATTAATTTTGGAACCACTAAAGGGAAATTAAGTAAAATTTGCCTTTTCATGGCCTTAACACGTCATTTCGGTCAAACTTCCATTACTGTAACTCCTGATAAGCTAGACAGATCGAACATTATTGAAAACATTTCATCGCATCTAAGTATTGCGTATTTACAACTTAAAATCCATGGATTTGGTGTGCGGCGGCTGCGCTCGCAAAATCGCTCTTGTCCCACGCGGTGCAAAAGCACAAAACGCGCGATGTCGTCAACGTGTTAAGTCGTCCAGTCCAGGACTTCAGCCACTGCAATTCACCTTTGCATAAGATTTATATTGAAATACGCTCACAAGCCAAGTCAAATGCCCCGTTTTGCAGTGCTTCGCCGGTTTCATTGATGTCTCGTCCAACGCGAATCTGCCGCCTGGCCGGGTGTGCACGGTACAAACAACTTGTCCAAAACAGAAGACCGACTTGGTCTTCCTGATCGATGGCTCAGGATCAATCGGTTCCTATGTGTTCAAAAATGAGGTAAATACTTGGGACGTGCTACCTTTGCCCCTCTTTCTGCATATCACAAACCGTCTTTTTATAGGTGCTGCGATTCGTGAGAGAATTCGTTGAACTCTTCGAAATTGGGCTGGATCAGACTAGAGTCGCCCTTATTCAATACTCGGATCAAATCCGCCATGAATTCGACTTGGACCAGTACACTGACAAGGTGAGGCAACCTAACCTTTTTGAGTTCCTGGAACTTTCT